TCTAATTTATGCTTCCCTATCACTCTACTCTTAAAACGTTATGAAAGGTACGCTAACACCGTGCTATTCGAAAATTCATCGTATTCCAGTTTTCTTTCCTATGTGCTAATCTGTTTTCTTGACTTGAGGGTAACTTGGAGTTGTTATGAAAATGAGGTACAGCTATGATGATGTCTGTCAACTGTCATGAGAGACGAAAGTTCAGCATACTTTTATCACAACCATAGGTAGGCATTTGAGAACTGCTTTTAGTATAAGTCCCAAGAGAACCAAATACTAGCAGTTGAAGTGAAATACGCAGTCTTATGGTGAGATGAGCATGCAGTTTCACAGAAAATTGAGGTCAAGCCAAAAGTGCGTCCAGGAGATTAATCAAAATAAAATTTTCTTTATATATTGAAAATAAGGGTTTTAAAAAGAGCTTAAATGCCGACCTCTATCGACATGCTGCTTCCATCTGTCTTAGAGAGCAAAGCCCAACCAAGGACACTAAAATTGCAAGGTAATCTGCAAAGATGAATCCCTATTAATGAAGCTTGTGAATTTCCTGCCCCCCTTTTCATAACTGGTTTAAGCGGTGAGTTACTCATCATGCTCCCCAAGACTAACAATCCCACAAGATAAGGTGAATTTTGAATTAGATCGCATTGGTTCAGTTCAATTTCACACAATGAAATGAGTTATCACCATGCCATTTAATTAAGTTCTCGCCTATCGCTAAAACGTTTTGCTATCCAAAGTGAAATGGAATTTAAACCTTCTCTCATCAGCACTCCGTATGAAAGTCGGGTGGTGCGCAGCTGGCCGCAGCACCACATCACATCTGAGTGATTTTATTAAGTAAGAATTTACATGGGTCGTCTATATGTTAGTGCCTTTAATTTATCCTCGCCTCCAGACTTGTTTTATCATACCCGGAGTACTGCAATTTGTTGAAGCTTTAATGATCATCGTGATTTTGACAAATCAGTAGCCAAGCTGGAGCATTCTACAATAGCCTTTTCGAGTTTAATGGCAAATACGAGGTCTTCATATTGGCATTCCTTCGGTCTAAAATGCAAATTGGAAGGTGTGGCTTGCCTTGAGAATCGTAATGACTCTGTGACGCATTGACAACGCTTTACAGCTGAGGGCCATGCGTTGCCAAATGAGGCGCGCATTTCTACCGCGGGTGTGACGAGGCCAAGTCCAGTCTTGCTTTTGGAAGCAAAGCTAAGAAATATTCAATAGCACGATCAGGCATTATTCCTTTATGCGCAATTTAGCCAGCATGCCTTTCATCATCAGCAGAGATAAAGTAGCTATCGTTTTTATATAAATATTTAAAGTTTAAATAATTTGAGTCTTCCTTTCAGTACTGCTTGAATCACACGCTAAAATATATAGATTTCCTGTCAGGAAACTTTATAAATGCCAATAATGAACAACATTTCTTGGGCTCCAAAATATCACACCCCCTAAAGTTGATAATGCATTACACTTTCCATATTAATAAACTTAAAGAGTTAGATTGAAAGTATGAAGACCAAGATGGTGTGGTCTTTTTTGTGTGGTCGCAGTCTCCTTCCAACTTCTATTAAAGAGTTAGAGCCACCCATCTTAACGAAAGGAGGTGAAGATAAATAGTAAATATGAGATTCATTCACCCCATTTCGAATAAGGTAGGCAAATTTGTCAACAATCATATGAGTGGAGCTGGCGCTTCCATCGAATTTCACATAGCCTTGCTTTTCCAAAAGGTGTTATTATACGAGGCGAGATTAAATCTGCCGTCCAGTGACACGCCTTAAACGTTTGCAACATTATTCTCAAATCTTAAATAAGCCACATATTTGCCTCAAGACTCATATATGTACTATGCGCATATATGTATGTAGATAATATTCATATTTCAATCGACAGCCGTATTGTAAAAATGATTATCCCGATTAAAAACAATATAAGACTGAAATAATTAATAGATCATTATACGAAACAAAAACCAATGTATCGAATCGATGTAGGTAGATTGAAATGAGACGAAGGGAAACAAATGTATCTCTGTAAAGTTAAGCAATTGAGCATTAATAATATCCAACTCTGTTGAAGAGTGCTGTACATATATCGCTTAATTGAATGAAGCAGCCAAAGCACAAGCATATACAAAAGGAGGAATATATGTAGAATAAAAGTGCAGGATCCAGGTCTAGATCATAAAATACTATAAATCTGTCTAGAAAGATAGAGATAAATGGCTTATCGCCCTTTTAGTATGCAATTTAAATAAAATCAAGTGGGAAGAGTGTATGTACGAACAAATAAGTCTAAAAGCATATAAGCATAGTATAAATGGAAGCTGAAGATAGGTGAAACAATCAGAGAATGAGGAAAATATGCCTCGGATAAATCATAAATATGTGCATAGACAATGGAATGACACTGCGAAAAATAAAGCTAGAAGAGAACCATATTAAGTAGGTCTCGATAGCACCAGTTCCTAATCTAAAGAGTTTACGAGTTACCAAAATCCAAAGAGAATACAGATGATTCAGAAAAAATGTCATATCGAATAAAATTGCAATCTTGACTAGGCGCATAAGAAAAATAGCGTTTTTCAAGTGTTAAAGACTTGGACTGCAAAGTAAGTATAAATGCCCTGTCTAGGCTGAATCATCAGAGGACAAAAAAGAATGAATAGGAGAAAATGCAGAAGACTGAATTGTGTGCATAAATGTATGCTTATACCGGTAAATTTATGTTGACCTAGATATACTGATTTAACTAGGGCTATTTAAAATCAGCAGGTCAGATGTGGAACTGTATGCATAAAAGCACACGAATGGGAAAATGTTAAGACTGATTAAGGGAAGGTATGGAAAATATATTAAATCATAACTCCACAAGGCGCTGGACGGAAAATAATCTCAATTATGAAGGGAAAATGCTGTTGAGGTGCGCATGTAATTTTAGCATGAGGAAAAGAAAAGTAGGATTAAAAATAAGTAAACGTCCGCAACATAGCAAAGAACATGTATATATAAACAAGGTTAAACAAAGGAATTGCAATATATTTAGCCTGAAAATAATGTATTGATAGAAAGTCATAAATACATAAATGAAGCGTAAATGCATGTTGTGCGCATTATTGCATGTGTGTGAAGACATGAGTATTCTCATCTGGATGTCTTCATTTGAGATAGGGATTAGAAGGGAAACCAGGTGAGGAAGACAGATAAATTAACGGATGAATAGTGTGATTTAAATGAGAAGACAAAGAATCAACAAGATAAGTTTAGTAATGTAAACTTAGCAATTTAATTTAGTGGGTACTTGAAAGAATGGAAGTAGTGGCATTTCAAGCATTTTTAAAGGCTACAAAAAGATAGGATGGAAGCAGAGAAATACAACACATTAACATTGGCATGTCCATAAGGACAGACAAGAAACAATAGAGCTAGGAGGCGAATTATTAATTTAGCTGGCAAGCAATGATATGAATAAATGAAAAGAAAGCTCTCTGTGGGATTTGATTAAAATAAATAGCAGTCTCAATCTAAGATTCGAGCTCCAAAAGAGCCTGTTCTACCTCCTCGTCTTCAAGGCTAACTTCCAGCCGTATTCCCTGCAGGCCAAGTCTGGTCAATCTCGTACCGGCAAGATCAGAAGCAAAGACAGCCTCCAACTCTTGGGCGATAGAAGATGAAGAAGGAATACTAGACTGTGGCCCACGGTTTGAGTCCTTGATAGAGAGTTCTCCTGTCGGATGGTCTGTAGACGGGTTCTGTAGTGTACATCCAGTCTCCATCTTAAGGCTAAACAAAGAATCTGATTCATTTTCCTTGATATTTGTGCATAGTTCGTGTTTTTCGACCTCTCGTACTTCCATTTTCCTTACCGACGATTTTGCCCCATTCTTGATGTACTCTTCTACTATATTCTCCTCTTGTTTATCGTCAGCCTTCGCCCTTCCAGCACTTGCTTTAAGCTCACAAGATCTGTCATTTTTTATATAAGCATTGTTACCAAGAGACGAAGCAGTCGACTTCCGACTACATTTGGATATCAAATCTCGAACTGTCAGTTGCCGTGTTGCAACCACTAGTACGCGGACAGCTCCAACAGTCGAGCCTATCTCCAGTGCATCCTTTTTTATTTCCTGTGTGGTTCCCTTCATTACTGGTCGGGATTCTAGCCTACAGCCGAGTACAAGTACACCTGCCGATTGCTCTAAATATTTAACAAGGGCATCGTGCAACCACGTACTAGGATCCACTAGGTCGCGATAAATGACAGCAGATTTGATATCGAGAAGTGAAAGCTTAGCTGCTCGCAGAAGGTCGGCTGGATTCTGAGCATCTTCTCGAGACTGCATAAGAGTCACATTGTTCGGACTCTGTACTTGATCGCTATAATCTTCTGCCCATTGCGCAGACCTATCCATTTGAATTTCCCTGTAAACAGTCGCCTGCCTCATCGCCTTCTCTCCTATGTCTGTTCCTCCATTGGTCGAATGCTTGAGTTCAAAGCAAGATTGGCAGTTGATGAATGGTACCGAGGGCCCTTTTATCCCAGACCCTGACTTACCAACTAACATAGCAGTCTGAGGTCTATTCTTAACTGTCTTCTCACTTTTTTTATCTTTCCTATTCTTCTTCGACTTTGTTTTCGCCATAGTTTGCTTAGCTTGTTGAGCTTGAAGCTCCGAACTTTGAGTAATTTTGGTTCCCGAAGGAGAGCACCATCGTCCATAGCAAAAACAGATCAAAAAAAGAGAAAGACATGATAGACTTTTCGAGCTAGCAGGGGTTTTAACCAGTCCGGTTATATCTACACGGCCAAACTCCTGAGGCGTTGAGGGTAAACCAACAGCAGATGAAGGAAGCAGGGGATCGTGTGGTACATGTCCAGATAAAGCAGCCAGATTGGATGCTGGGATGTGCGAATCAGCCAATTCATAAGTCTCGTTTGGCGTTTTAACTATGAAAGAGGTATCAGGTTTAGGCGGAGATGTAACGGTCGATACAGCAGAGCGACGGGGCAAAGAGGGAGTCATATCGATCCAGTATCCCTCGCTTTCTAGCCCAGTAGAGAGCCCATGTTCATTGCTGGCAGAAAATGAGGAACGGGAAAGGGAAAATCATGAAGAAGTAGACAAGAACAGCCAAAAGTATCAGATACGAATGCAAGGGGCTCGAATCGAGAAACAAAGTAAAAATGAACATTCCAGAGCTTAGATATCATGGCAGATAATGATTAAGTTCGTAGAGAAGAACGATTGTCGTAATAGTAAAATATTGCCTTAGTTACCGTAAAAAGTGGGCTATCTCAATTTTCGAATAAAAAAATTCCTTCATTCAAAATTAGATGAAGGATACCTATGTACACTCTGATTCTCTACAACCTCTACATGCCCTTAACTTCTAGCTTAACAAAAAACATGGTTAGATATCACTCGTATAGGCATATGGTTTTATCATTAATGAGCCCGACAAATGAGTATGAAGTGACCAACCTTTCTAATACGCCATTCTCAACTGTTGCTTTTCAAGACTATCCCTCCAGACTAGCCTCAGGGGAAGGAAATTTTGTGTTAACCCATCCCCACGCTTTCTCAACACACCGATCGGTTTTGTTATGCAGTATCGCAACACTTATTTTACATCCCCTCCTGTGAACAATAACCACTTTGAATACAAGTGGTCTGACTCCGTTTTCGTAACTTAGCCGTACTGTTAGAGTGATCTAGTTGAGCACGAAAAGAGACTACGACCATAAAAGAGGCCACATCTTGGTCTACGATTAAACTACTGATCCTGATTCAATCCCTGCAACTATCGGCCAATCACATTCTCGCCAGCCGAACCCAGCCTACCCTTGGGTCCATCGGACTGAGCTCTATCTACAAGTCAAATCTGCCACCCGTCACTAATCCGAAACCGACGTTTAAATCACGCAAGTAATTAGATAGAACTAATTCTACAGCCCTATTTCCCTCGAGGTTACGGTACTCGCTCTGGCGCTCTCACCACCTATGCCGTACTCATTTTATAATCAGAGCCTTGCCTCAATGAATCGCCCGTGGAAGGTCCCGAAATGGCTCTTTGGTAACCAGAAGCTCCCCGTTACAATTTTGTATTCTGAGCTGATCGAGCCTTTGCTTCAGACACCGGCTATATCAAGCGTAATCTGTTAATTCTCCCTATCACCTACACAGATAAGGACTGCATCTTTATTACAATCACATTTTTATGAACAACCTATGATTCTACAAAACCTCTATTCTTCATCCTTCAGACTATCCATGGTCACAGATTAAGTCTCCAGTGCCAACTTATCTAAAGAGGCGGGATAATTTTGAATAATAAATAAGTAGCTTAAAGATACTGTCAATCAGGTTGGTTGGAATTAGATATGCATCTTAAAGAGGACTTGTAGTATAGGTACTTTCTGCAAACTGAAGCCCAGCAATAAACCATATATTATCAGAAGTTATCCCTTTTAGACGGCTTTAAAAACAATTTCAACAGACGCTCAACGATTGATTAACTTCATTCAAATATTAATTGTTGAATTCCATAAAATATTAGTAATATTAACATAAATAAAAGGATCTGCTTAGGTTTCAATCCTCAAACCTTCATTAAATATGCTATTTTAGCAGTGGATCGAATTCATTGGCCCAACAACAGTCTGTGGATTTCGCACCCAACAAAAAGTGATAATGGAATTTTTGAAGCAGGCAATTGTGAAGGCTTTTGTTGTACCTTTCTTTTCGTAAGTAGGTGGACGGGATTCGTCTAGTGTTTTGGAGAACTCTGTAGCAATTATAGGAATGGAAAATTTAAAACAATGTCAAGCAGACTTGGGCTTCAAAAAACCTTAAGCACAAGTACTCTAGAGAGACTAAGGGATGGCTCGATTATTCCTTAAAATGATTTGAAATTGGGAAGTGAAAAGATGGAAAATGAGTTGCCAATTCTCCTTTTTGGCTTTTTAAGAATTATAACGGTTTCATACA